ACAAACTCACTTTCCGTGGCCTTGTCTTTTGCCTGAAGCTTGCGAATGATGTCCATCGTGACAGGGTCTTCCTGATAGGCTCCCACCAATGATTGAGTCACTTCATCAGATACGCCAAAGTCAGAAACTAGCGCACCTAGGTAGTCTGCTCTACGTGATAGCACATCAGCAACCTTGTTATACTCTCCCTTCAGATACTCAAGCTTGAAGTCATATTGATCTATGACCTCAATCCATCGCTTGAGTGCATCAGAAAGAGCCGGTTGAGTCTTGATCCATTTGAGGGTCTRATGATCAGTCCTCAAGTAGAAGAACCTTCCYAAWAGGARGTGTCTCCAATGGACAAGTGCTTTRTAYARAGCATAGAGTTCCCTTTCGTAGGTGGACTTTGCCAACTTCTTTGATGGCATCTTCTTGCTCATATACTCAATCGGTCTCAACTTCTTCCCATCCTGCTGAGCCAGCACTGCGCCAATGTCGTATTGGCTTGCGTCAGTGGTCACTATGAATGGCTTCTGAGGATCGGGAACCATGAGGACCTCATGATTCATGAGTGCATGCTTCAATCTCTTGAAAGCACCCTCGCACTCATCACTCCAGTCCCACGGCGTGTCAAGTCGAGTTAGATCAGTCAAAGGAGAGGCGACTGTAGAATAGTTCTTGACGAAGTTCCTATAATAGCCCCACATTCCTAAGAATGATCTGACCTCAGTGACCGTCTGAGGTCGTGGCCAGTCTCGAATACTAGCCACCTTCGCATCTTCCGGCCTAATCACCTCCGCGGATACCTCATGACCCAAGTATAGTATCTTAGTGCAACCGAACTCACACTTCTCTAAGTTGACCTTATACTTGTGTTGTCGAAGGAGTGAAAATACCGTCTCAACATGTCGTGCATGCTCCTCGGCAGACTTACTAAAGATCAGAATGTCGTCTAAATAGACCACGACAAACTTATCTAAATGATCATGAAAGATCCGATTCATAGCGTGCTGGAATGTACCCGGCGCATTACAAAGACCGAAAGGCATCACTACAAACTCATACAGACCATATCTAGTCTAAAAAGTTGTCTTGTGTTGGTCCTCAGGTCTTATTGCGATATGGTGATATCCGGATTTCAAGTCTATCTTACTATAGTACTTGCATCCCTGCACCCTATCCAATAGGTCGTCTATGCGAGGTAGAGGCTCTGCATTTTTCACAGTGATGGCATTGAGGCCTCTATAATCAATGCACATCCTCAAAGTACCCCCCTTCTTCGGTACGAATAGAACGGGTGATCCGTAAGGGAAAGTACTATGTCGAATCCAACCCTTCTCTGTCAGCTCCTTAAGCTGTCGCCGAAGTTCATCTAACTCGGCGGGGGCCATCCTATAGATCCTTCCCTTTCGGGTCTTACTCCCTGGAATGATTTCTATAGCGTGGATGACTTCCCTTTCAACAACTCCAGTGGGCTCTTCGAACAGATCAGGGAACTTAGCAACGACGCGTTCTATCTCTGGGGGTGTTTTAACGGCCTCCCCCTTCTCAGAGGCATAAACAAGGTACATACCCTCCTCTTGGTTCTGCTTATAGTAGTTGTAGAACGCTGATGCGCACAAGCAGCCATAAGTATCTATAACACTACTGGCTTTGAACTTAGTCAATCTGACAGTTCGGCCATCGGGCAACTTATGCTTGAGCACCTTCTTATCCCAGTCAAACTGGGGCTTAGCAACTTCGAGGTAGTACATACCTAACAACATGTCAAATGGCAAGTCGTCGCTAACCAAGAACGAGATCTTATGGTTAAGCTCACCTCCTCCATAGGAGAAGGTACAGACTACGTCCTTGATGTAGTCTGTTACAATCATGCGCTCCTTGTTGGGCAAAGTAGATGCTACAGGTCTACTAAGGTGCCGTACCCGGTCCTGTAGGTGCAGCCTTTCCAAACAGTCGCGACTTATGTAATTCCGCGTGGAGCCTATGTCTATGAAGGCACCACATTTGCGGCCTCCTACATCCACTTCCACCACGAAATGTTCCCCTCTAGGACCTTTCTTCAGCGTCACCCAAGACTCGCGAGGGTCCTTGTTTGACCACTCACCTTCTAAGTCTTCTAAGGCTTCAGACACATCTAACGTACAGAGCATAGTTTGGTCTAGATGTGTTTGCGGGGTGACTAAGGAGTCATTAGCTTTGGCCTTGTCATGAAGTGAGGAGGGTATCAATCCAACTTCATCTTGAGTAGAAGCAGCTAATACTTCCATTAGCCTCACGCGTTTCCCGAGCTAGAAGCCTGGGAATAAGTTGCCCCCATCTTTGGAGCAACCCTTTGCGTAACCTTAGCGTTCTGGCACTTGTACTGCGAGTGTCCGTACTCCCCGCAGTTGATACAAGCACCACGCGTTCGGCGGTCACGCCACACGTCTTGATCAAGACCTGCCTTAACCCACTCAGCCTGKTTGGTCTGATTGGAGGCGGCCTTTCCTTGACTCCTAGGTTGGCCTTTCCCTCGGCCTCCTGCCTTAGTCTTGACTACCGCGGCGAGGGTGCTACCCTCAGCTACCTCCTCGCCGTCAAACTCTGAATAGTCCATCAGGTCAGAGAGCTCGTCGATCTCCGTTTGAGTCCCATCGGACTCAACCATCATCAACTTCGCCCCCTTCTTCTTCCACTCCTGAGGACTCTTCTTCTTCTTCGAGTCATTCTGAGAGGTTGGTTGAGCATTGCCTAGTGTGGCCTCCAAATCTAAGGCTTTCCTAGACAGTGTCTCAAACGGATGGTACTCAGTGCGTGCCTCGCTGGCTAGCAAGTTCCTAATGTTCTTTGGGAGACATCTGACAAACGTAGTCAATAGGAACTGATCGCTGTAGTTAATGCCTGGGACGAGGATCAGGCTCTCAACGGTAGTCGTAAGCTTTCTAACCGACTTGAACTTTCGTTGGTCTAGTTTGTTAATGGCATCAGTGGCCCTTTGTGCCTCCTGTGGATTATGCCATCGAGCTTCTACCATTTCCATGAACTGGTCTAACGTTAAAGACTTAGCCCAATCTGCCATGCGTCTCCCATACCCGGCCTTTACAACTACCCCATCCAGCCACTTGGCTGCCTTACCCTCGAGGTAAGATGCAGCGGTAACCACTTCGTCCTCTAGCAAGGTCCTCTTGGCCTTTACCCAAACCGGGACTATCCTCAACCATGTGTTGAGTTCTTCGTCCTTCCTCTCGCGTGAAAAGGCAAGAGGCGATTTCATTGGGGTTTGGGGATACCATTGACCTTGCGTCTGTCCAGATTGCTGAACAGGTTGTTGCGGTGATGTAGCTATCACCGCTGGACCCGAAGAAGAAGATGCAACAGTCTGTGCGGCTGCTGCAGACGTACCACTTGGTTGTGTACCAGCTTGTACTGGAAAGGGGCCTGACATCACCGTTAGCGGCAACAGCGATTGCGCTGGTGGCCTAAATCCTGGCCTTGTCAAAATGTCCAGGATCTGGTCCAAAGTGCTCTGCATGAAGTCCAACCTGCTGTCCACGTGCGCATGCAGTGACAGCATGTTGTCCCTCAACACTTTCATGGGCTCATTCATTCCTGAGTCATCCAAGCCCTCTAACTTAGCTTTGTCAGCCTCTAACGTATCAAGTCTGGCTGCTCTATTCTTTATCTCTTTCTCCCTATCGGTTGTTTCCTTCAGTTCCCTCTCTAATTGTTCACGAATCCTTTCGACTTGTTGGAGCTCCTTGAGCTCCCTTTCGCGAGGAGTCAACAGGCTGAACTGCGAGCCCGCCATTTGACTTGTAGACTGTCATGATCCTACAAAACTGGAAGTGCCCGTGGACCCTGTTGGCGTTCCAGACGAGAACGCAACAGAAGTTGCATCGGAGGATGCTGCTGCAGAAGACATGGCTGTTGCCCTGGCTGGTGCTGCAGCCTGTTCCCTAGCTGCAACGTTTGCTGCCTCTCTCGATGCTGCGAGAGCACGGGCTCTGCGTTCGGCACGAATGCGTCTTTCGTCTTCCGGTTGTAGGGCCTGGAACACGTGCGGGATCCTACGTGACCTTGCACGTGTTAGTCTACGATCGTCAACTCTCTCCTCATCGACGTCTGACCCATTCATTAATTAGGCAAACATTATCTGTACTAGAACCCCCTAGTGGAGTATTTCGGCCTACCCCTGTGCCCAACTCAAAGTCGAGCAAGCCAGCCAGCCCACTCTTATTTACCCTCGTACGGAAACGAGCCTTACACCCGGATGATCTGGCTGATCAGGAAGATTATTAAGAACGCCCCCATCTCTTCAGGAATTCTTTAACGTCGCAGTCAGGACACTATTTGGCGCAGCAAGTGCCTTAATGGACAGTAGCCATCGCATGCGTGACCTACTCCCATTGGGTTGGCATGGTGACCGTGACCCAGTGCTTCGACCAGGGCCCTTCAGAGGCACCGCCCTTTCTCCTTCCAG